GCTGCCCCCCTTTCCTCGAAAAGAGAGACAAACGAGAGCGGAGCTTTTCATTAAAATACGCTCGCAATGAATGCGGATTGCCACCTCAAGGACATCGCGTGCGTGCTCTTTGTCCAAACAAACCACGCATAGATCGCGTGTGTCATCAGGTGTCAAATAACGACGACGCGGATGCACACACCCTCTAAACGCTTTGCTAGTGCTCGCCATAACGATAGGAATATAGATCGCTCTTACCACGAAAATGCACGCTTCAAACAAAGCGGTCAGTGAAGACGAAGAAGAGAATGACATGTTCTCCCGGCGCCTATTTATACTATAATCGCACCGGTAATGATGTCATGGGCTGTCGCCGGCCAACGTGTTGTTGGTGTTTTTTCAATGTATGCTTCAGACACGGGTCACGACGAGGCGTTCCCCATAGCGACCCCTAGAGGACGCAGTTTGAAGTTCCCTTGAAAGGGAATCAGCATATCGAAATGATTTCTGAAGGATCATGTGACACTGAAAACTAGAGTAATGATCACAGGAATAAATGACATTTTACAATATATTCAAACAAAAAAAAGTTATTTCAAATTGTAATAATATTTCACAATATTACTGTTTTAACTCTTTTGATTTTTGATCATAAATGCAGCCTTGGTGAGCAGAACCTTCTTTTTTTAATTTGTTTTTAAATAGATGTATGAATGATAATTTACCTGGTTTATTTATCCATTTTATGAAGGATCATATGACACTAAAGGCTGTAATGATGCTGAAAATTCATCACAGGAATAAATTCAAACAGAAGTTATTTTACACTGTAATAATATTTCACAATATTATTATTTTTTTTAAATCAAATAAATCCAGCCATGCTCAACACAAGACTGAAATTTGAAATTTTCTTCTGAAATGAGCATTTTTCTCAAGCTCCTATGTTTAGGTTCAGTAATTTCACTTGAATAAGTTTTTCATTGCCATTAAAGTGAAATAACTGAACATAAATATTGGAAAATGCTAGAAAAATGCACATTTTAGAAGAACATTTCAAACGGCACTTAGAGGCTTTTGCATCTGAACTCTTCATATATACACACATACATTTACTCCAAAGAACCTTGTTTATTTATCCATTTTACTAGGTTTATGAAATCAGTGGAGGATATTTCTACAGAAGAGATGGAGAAAAGAAGCCAAACGAGTGGAGAAAGATCTCGTACTTATCGCTAGAGATGGAGCAGTCGATGACGGTGCGGACGTCAGTGTTGAGAATGATAAAGGGAAGCTGAATGACAGATCCTGGAGGGGGAGTTGACTGGGACGAGGCTTCGCTGGCCTGGTTCCTCTGCACCAGATTCTTAAAGGCGATCTGCTGCTCACGGATCAAAGAGATGCACAGATCAGCACACTTCCTTAAAGGTCCACTCATTAAAGGGTTAGTTCAAAAATGAAAATTCTGTCATTAATTACTCACCCTCGTGTTGTTCCAAACCCGTAAGACCTTCGTTCATCTTCGGAACACAATTTAAGATATTTTTGATGAAATCTGAGGGCTCTCTGACCCTCCCATAGACAGCAAGGTAACTACCACGTTCAAGGTCCAGAAAAGTACCAAGATGATCGACAAAGTAGTCCGTGTGACATCAGTGGTTCAACTGTAAAGTTACGAAGCTACGAGAATACTTTTTTGTGCAAAGAAAACAAAAATAACGACTTTATTCCACATTTTCGTCTCTACTGCGTCACTTTGGACGCGCGTTCACGACAGTATCATGACGCGAGCGTGTGGCGGCGCTGGTAGTTACCTTTGCTGTCTATGGAAGGGTCAGAGAGCCCTCAGATTTCATCAAAAATATCTTAAATTGTGTTCCGAAGATGAACGAAGGTCATACGGGTTTGGAACTACACAAGGGAGAGTAATTAATGACAGAATTTTCATTTTTGGGTGAACTAACCCTTTAACCTTAAATCAGTCAGCATGTTGATAAATAAAAGCTTTGTGTGGTCAGTCTCGGGATGTGTGGGGGTTGGTCAACAACTAGGACCGAGCCAATGCATGTAATTTAGCGCTCCAGAAGCCCTCCCAGCTCCTGATCAATATCCCAGCAGGACCAAGGCCACTTCTGATCCCTCCACACATCTACGGCTTCATCGCTGTGATCTGTTGCATTACACGCCGTATCATTAACGGTCATCTATAGTAACATCACACATCAACACAAACTGACAGCAGTGATTCTCATCTCACTTCAGAAAAAAACGAATCAATATGAGAGGTTTGCTGCTTTTCCACAGCTGGCCACTGTTAATGTGTTCCTCCGCCTCTCATCTGCTGTTTTTACTCATCCTTTTGTTATGGAGTGAGGCTGGTTAGCACTAATGACGAAAAAAACTTGATGCTGTTCAGTGGAAAAAAAAAAAAAAACGATTATCTGATGCATTGATATTCTCTTTTCAAAAACTTCAGAACTGATTCTGAGCTTTTTTGCCCCATGTGTGCAATGACACTTTTGCTTTTTGCCAATTGCACGCAAACTCACACAATAATATACTGAAAGTATATAAACTTGCATTTCAAAGGTTTCATGGTTGAAGGAAAATATAAGGCCAATCGCGGGCTACATTGCACAGCATCTGCGCTGTGAGAAACGTGAGCTTTGCTTGACAACGTGTGGTTTCAACTCGCCGGTATTTCAGAGTTTTACCTTCCAAAAGCTGTATGAAGGCAACATTTATGCCGTTTGGAGTGCAGTATAAGTTTGATACACAAACACTCATTTATAGACGTATGTGTTCAAATGCTCACATTACATATACCTTCCTGCGTTTAAGTAAGTCGCTTTGGATAAAAGCGTCTGCTAAATGACTAAATGTAAATGTAAATGACTAAATGTCAAGGTATGACATAACTAAATGTAGGGCTGGGCGATATGGCCAAAAAATGATCACGATATTTTTTTTTCATATCAGTCGATATCGATACTTGTCACGATAAATGTCAAATTTTATTTCTTTCAAGTTTAAAGGCAGATTTTTGCTCCAATGTGAAAGTTGCAAAAACCAGATGGTTAATTGTGGTTTTAAACTATTCTTTATGGTCAGAACATGACAAACACTTAGTTTTTTAATTCTTCATACTTTTCCAGTCATTTTTCTTTAACAAAATAAAAATCTTAATAGAAAAAAGTAATTTCTTAGTTCTGCATGTTCTAATAAGTAATATTGTTTCAAATCAAGAAACAGGTTTGTGTTGCCTGATAATATTAATAATATAACATTTTTTGTCTCTTAGAAATACACATTTGATAGTAGCTTGAGTTAGGATGCAGATGTAGATTTATGTTCAATATCAAAGTCAGTAATATCTATACAAATTGTAGCAATCTCATTTATATATGGTGACATTTAATTATTCTGACTGTTTGAGGTGGGTTTTTTTTTTACCATTGGTCTTCCAGCACAGCCCTAGTTTTTAGGTATTTGTATGAAAAACAGTAGTCTAAATACATTTAGTATAAACGCATAAATGCTATAGCTTAATCACAAAAGTACTGTAATTATATTCCATTACTCCTCCTTTAATACATTTAATACATGACTGTCTACATTAATAATATAATAAAATTCGACACAAATACCCACATTTCTGACACAATACCATGGTGCAGTTAGTGCTACAGTAAATCTATGGTAAATAATGGCGATTTGTAGTTTAAAAAGACTTCTTGACTGTATCTCACAGCGCTGTTCAGTGTCGCGTGAGCGAGACTCATTAGCGAGTGAACGCATCTGCTATAGTGAAGCTCGCAACACGCCGCCGTTTGAACTTTGATCCGGAGCGGATAAACGGTCCGAGTGGCGCGCTTCAAATGACTAGCGCTCTTTCGTTCCGCTTTTGCCGCATAAATGTTATAGCGAACATTTATCGAACTCTTGTTATCGTTTATCGAGGAAATTTATATTGCACGATAATTATCGTTATCGATTTATCGTCCAGCCCTAACTAAACGGTTAAATGCATTTGCATCTCCATATTCTTTTATGATGCAAAATTATTGTAAACACTAGCTGCGTTTCCATTACCCGAATTGAAGATACACCCAATGGAAACACGTCAATTTCGCAAAAGCTCCCATATATCGCAAAAAAGTTTTTACGCTCGCATGAGGTGCTTTTTCAGGTAATTCGAAAAAGGAATACTTTGCAAAACTGCAATGGAAACCGTTTTTTCACATTTACAATGTAAAAGTCACATGATCATTCTTTAATGTACTATAACCTCCAAGAAACACCTCATACGTGGCCGCTCACAAGTATAAAGGAATGCATGGATAACCACTTATTTACACTGCACACGTCTGCGGCGCATTATGACTCCGACACACTGATCGTGGCATCGTCATTTACAAAATATTACAAAAGTTTTGTGCAAATCTGTAATGGAAATGCAGCTACTGTCAGTTATGTTCTAAGGGCAGGACAAAACATCTGATAGGTTGGAACAGATCTGTGCATTAGTGTGAATGCAGCCAATTAGAGCTGCCGCTGTCTATGATGTCACCCATAATAATAAAAACAGCAGTAATGCTGAGAAAAAGAGAAACTTCCTTTACTGCGCCCGTCTGAAAACTTTCAAATACTTTAAGCACTCTCAGATACTGAAGGCACTTGCTTGTAATGTGTTTCTTTGTCCCTGTTTAAGCTATATTTAGTTAGATTATAATTTTTAACATGCAATTGCTTTGATTTAGTATTGATTTGTAATAATTTTAAAAAGTAGTCATGATTATGCAAGTCATTTAATAGGATTCAGCATAAATTTGATATATTCAAAGTTGATAAACGCATTAATTAATTAGAACAAAATGTAGTTTTACAATCGAACTGTTATTCACAGAATCTGAATCGGATTGTGAGAGACATAAAGGTTCCCACTGCTACTGTTTAGGGTCCGGAATCAAAAACGAGGAAACTTTTTTTGTTTGTTTGTTTGTTTTAAAACCTGGAACTGATTGTTGTGTATCTGTGCTCCTCCATAATTTTTGATGTAATATCGCACTTCAATACGATGGCATTTCACACTACTGATTTTGTAGCACATGGTCCTTATGAGTCAGTTCTTTGTTATGAATCAGTCAAAAAAGACTTGGGGTTTCAATTGTGTAACGACTCAAACGCTTTTTGACGTAGTCACTGAACAGAAAGCCATTACTTTCTTCATTCCCAACTAGAAATGAAACTGTGCTATACAGTATGTACTTATATTGATGGATGCTTCGTCAAAATACTAAAATGAATAGATCAACAAAAAGTTAAATGTTCAAGAACCAGAATCGCTAAGTGGAATCAGAATCGTGTAATTCTTTTTCCACAGATGATTCCCATGTGTAGTGCTGTTTGGAAGTTTTGCTGCAGGTCTGTCGTGAGAAAACAGACACACATAGACAGACAAACACAAACAGGTGTGCTACAAACCTGTAATATTAGCTCCTCTAGCTGGGCTCTTTTCTGTCGGATTCTTTCCAAACGCTTCTGTTTTTCCAGCTGAAAGATGACCAGACACACAAATTAATAGCATTAGATGCATTAGATGGTTTGGAGGTGTATGAGCTTTTCCCCCGCCCTTCCTCTCCATCATCATCTTCTGTTCACCCTCCGTTTGTGTCTGTCAGGCCGTCACAGATGTGACACTAACAGATGGTGTCAGAGGCTCTTCAAACACACACATTGTGCCCTCATTAACACTACGCCTTCTGAAAGCAAGACTGACTACTATTAAAGCATTCACTTGTGTCTCTAGTACATGCAACCACACATAGTATATGGCTCACAAAAACGAAAATCACTGCTCTAGTATTTTTAAGTAAATTTTACTTGATTTCCATCAGTGAATATGTTCACATGCATTACAAAACACTGAAAACTCTTTTTCCATTTTCCAAAAAAGCCATTTACATGCAAAGCAAAAATCTAGGTGTGTCCATTAGGTTTTGCTTAAACCGTTTATGACTTTTCCTCGATAAAATCACATACAGTTATGCAGAGTTCACACTGCACGATTTTCAAAGTCTTTGGATCACCGTTGTTTTCACACTGCACGACTCTCTGGGGTAGCATTCAGTTGCTGCTGTGTTCACATTGCACGATGGATCGGCGACAGGAGGTAACACACTGCATGACTTTACAATAGGAAGAATCACCGACAACTCTGTAAAACTACGTTTCACAACCAAACGCACACGAGAAGTGATAAGGAAATAGCGCAAGATCACGCTGATATGTGGTCTATAAGTCCTCCCCGAACACACAATAACAAAGATACCTTCCTTGTTAACAACATACTTCTGCTGGGAAAAGTTTATTTACACAAATCTAAATAGCCTACTTGAAAGTGAAACCAACATTTTGTGCATTTTATAATGAGCTTATTTCTTATACCAAAGCCCTCAAAGTGATGAAAAAGAAAAATGCAATAGCCTAAATCTTTTGTCCTTTATAGTAGAATATGATTTACAGGAAAAACCCTGGCCCCTTTTTATGTTTAATTTTATTTATTTTTTATTATATATAAATACATATATCTTCATGCACCTGTTATGTATTCTAATGCAAAAATGTTCTGATATTGCCACGTTGTTTGTACATGGCTAATTGCTTAATAAAAAATTAAAAAACGCCAAAAAGGTCCTCCCCAAACTTCCCGCCGCCCTGTATCTTGCTCTCTCATTGGCTGTAGGTCATCGCCGATGTATTTTTCAGTCAGAACTCATTTCACACAGCAGAATTTTGAATCGCCGACATGTCCAGATATTTAGCATGCCAAATATTTCACAGGCATTCTCTCAGATCGTGTCTTTGATAATAAAATTGTCGGCGAATTTGCAAAACTTATCAGCGAGTGAAAATCGGGGCTAAAATCGTGCAGTGTGAACTCGGCATTAAGCACAGTCTGTGCATTAACTCAAATATACCCCACTTAAACCAATATTCTGGTTAATCAAATGAATAAGACAGTTGGGATATGCCTCTATGAATCTGGATTCTTTAAGATGAACCTGTCAAACATGTCTTTAGTTAATTCATTGATTTGGAATATGTTCACTTTATGTTGAACAAAAAAGTTTTGTTGTTTTTTTTTTTCTAACTCCCCAGTTATAGTTAGCTAGACAGATAATTTTATTTTGGTGATGCAATTTGCCACTACACATTTCATTAATTTATTAGTTTATGACAAACAAACAAAAGTGTAGGTTTGCAAGACCTAAAAACCCATGTGCTTAATACATTTTAGATTTAGTGAACACAGCACTCACCTGATGGTTTTGTCAACTTCTCTCACAATTATTACGCAGTTATGGTCATAAATTTACATACACATTGTAAAATCTGTCAAATGTTAACATAAATGTATTAAAATTGCATTTTGGATACATACTTTTGAGATCCATCTTTTCAAACTTAGAAAAAATGAGGACATTCAACTAGTAACTCATTAATTTGTGTAAATTCAGTAAATGTTTTGTCTTGTGGACTATACATAAACACTGGTTATGTGAAATAGCTTATTCAAGGCAGTAGTAAATAAAACCAATTTTCATAATGCCTCATATTTTCTTAAATTGTTAGCATTTTGCAGATTCTGTGTAAACTTTTGAGCTCAAGTGTATATGTGAATATTCCAGTTGTTTTTCTGAATAAACACAACCAGAAAATGATGCAAATGTAAATATCTTTGGGATAAATGGGAAGGTCATCTGTGTGAGTGAATTTGTCTTTCACCTCTAAGTTGCGGCACTCTTGGGCTGAGTTTGTGGGCAGGCCGATCCAGCGGATCTCCTTCTTCTCTTTAGAGATGATGTTCATTGCCATCAACACATTGAGCGCGTCGTACACACGCCGGCGGATGTTCTTCTGGTCGTACACCTGCTGCAAGTGCAGACACACAGCCTCTATTAATGTCACAAATCACACGGAGACGAGCGATCATCTACCCCAAACCCCTGCGTCTGCGCTAAAGTCGCTTTTAATTACACCTTTTAGCATTCCACCAGGGGTGAGAGATTAAACTCCAGTCCAGGAAACATCAGGTGGACTGTCAGAACGAATAGCGGTCTATTCACTCCAGGTAGAAGGAGTCCTTATGCAATGATCTAAGGCCAGCGTCCAAACCCAAAGTCTCATTATAAAAGAGATATTACTGGAGATCACCGTTCCTGCTTAGGGTTTTGGGACACAACCAGACGAGAGCTGGACATTGTGCAGCACTACAGGAAGTGCTCGACGTTCTTCATAAACCACAGACAGATAAATCACAGCTCATATTAACAAGAGACGCTGCGGGAGGGACCTGGAGAACTTTAACATCTTTTACCAGCCCAGATCTGTTTTATTCTGCTGTGTAAACAGAGGCAGAGTAAGTGATGGTCATTTAGGTGAGGCATAATGGTGACTATATGCATATTTCATATCTGAAAGACCAGTCCAATGAAAGTCTTAGAACATCAATAGCAAATGGTACTCTAAGAAAGAATTGGGTAAAATCCATTATGACTTTTAAAAGCTCAGTGACTGGAGGCAGAGTTAAATGCGGGAGTCATGAACCTTAATTTTAGGGCTGGGTATTCAGTAGGGGTGGGAATCATTTGGTACCTCATGATTCAATTCATATCGACTCTAGGGGTCACGATTCGATTAAAAACGGGATGGCCATCACACCAGTATTTTGATACAAAAACACACCAGTCTGTAGTATGGGTTGTCCTGACTTAAGAAATCAATAACTATTAACTTCGTAATAAATCAAAAATATTTTACACTTCCCATTAGGGATGTGCCCAAATCCGAATATCTTATTCGGGAAGGAAATGACATGTACTATGGAACCCCTAAAAGGAATAAATACGAGATGGAGAAAGAAAAAAAAAATCTCAATGCTTTCTCTCGTAGTAATTATACTGTATATAAATTGTGGGCATCAGGGAGCCATTATTAATATGCAGGGAATTTAAATTGCTTTTGAATGCACGCTCGCTTTTTACTTTCACTTTCAATTTCTTGATATAATTTCATTCGATACACATTTATTTACATATATAGGCAATCAGGTACAGAACTTCAATTTTTTTCCAATTTAAGAAAATCTCTCAAATAATACTGTAAACTATACAATAACCCTGTCAGTTGGTACACTATTATATTAAACTGATCGCAATTAATCGATTTGACAGCTCTAATATATATTTATACATAGCATTAAAGAAGAACAGATGATTAGTTCACATCACAGCACATTAAAGAGAGACAAAACTTTTGTTTGAATTTCATAATAAAATGGACATAATTTGAAAGCTGATAATTTGTTTCATTTATTGGATGGCAGGCTACAAATAAAGTTTCATTAAGTTTTGTTCATGCATCAACTGAAAACAGCATAGATTGATTTTTGGGATTTAAGAATCGATATCGCTTCATCAAAATGAGAACCAATTAAAACAAAGAAATCCATATTTTCAACCTTAGCCCTATTAGATTTAATACTATCTTAAAGTATGAGCAACAGTAAAAACTGCAAGGGATCGACCTTAAATTCACATCACGGTTGTTTTATTCTGTGGAACTCACCGAGTCGGTGGGCATCAGGCTGCTGGCGTGAGTGAATTCAGCCACCAGCTCATCAGCCACCTCGTTGTAGGACGTAGTGCCTTTCTTTTGTACCTTCTCACACACCTTCATGGAGAAGTGCCTCAGGCCTTTACCGTTCTTATCTGCCCTCTTCATTCTCTTACTGCAGAGACAAAGAACGAAAAAAGAGTGAGAGTTTGCACGTTTCATTTCTGGACAATACATATAAAGGATAGCTTTTTCCTTAAAGGGTTAGTTCACCCAAAAATGAAATTATCCCATGAATTACTCACCCTCAAGGCATCCTAGGTGTATATGACTTTCTTCTTTCAGACGAATCCAGTCGGAGTTATATTAAAAATTGTCTTTGATCTTTCAAGCTGTTTAATGGCAGTCAGCGGGTGCTGCATTTCAGCAGTCCAAAAGAAGTGAAATAAAGCGCATTCATCCATAATAAAAAGTGCCTCACGCTGCTCCGGGGGGTGAACAAAGGCCTCCTGTAGCAAATCGATGCGTTTTTGTAAGAAAAATAACCATATTTAAAACATAATAATCAATTTAATCTAGCGTGCGCTCACTGTTGTACACGGAAGCAGCTCTGGGCAGATGACGTAGGACGTCGGCGTTGCGCATGCGCCGCTCAGAAGTGACGCACACGTAAGCGCAGGGGAGAGATCAAAACAACGGTCACTAATTATAAGTACAAAATGAGGATTTGTAAAGAAGAATGTC